GAGAATTGTGTTGATCATGGGGAAGTAGTAGTGGTATATCGGTGAAGTGTAGGGGGGACCCTAGGAATGATCATCTAATGGGTTGACGGTGGCATTATTACCCAAAAGGGGCAAAGGGGTCTCTGACTTTATTCGCCTGTTATTCATCGATGCCCCCAGAAAGAGACCTAATTTAGAGAACAGCCCGCCACATCTCTTGAGCCCCGAGGCCTCTTGCAGGCCTGCGCTGTGCACGGCAACACGGCAGCTGCCCAGCTTTGGTTCTCGGTGCTGACCTCGAAAGGCCTGGACGATGAGAGCCTTTTTGCTTGGAACCCTCAACCCCCAAACCCCCTGACTTCAAGAGCCTCCGGCTCAAGCCGCCCGACTCTGCAGGAGAAGCGCTTCAGGCGGTTTGGGAAAAAGGGGTCCGTCAGGGCTCGCGGGTTGCAACGAACGTCAAAAAAAGTCTTTCGCACCACCACGCAACCCCCGAGGCCGGGGTCCCAAGAATCCCAGGCAGTCCCACCAAGAGAGCCTTCGCACTAAGCATGCTCACCTAGGTGCCGGGAGTGCCCGCCTTTCGCTCCCCCACCCCACCCCCCGGGTCGACCATCCCACCCAAACCCTTAAGCCCTAAGCCCTACGCCCTAAACCCTAAACCCTAAACCCGAAACCCTAAACCCTAAACCCTAAACCCTAAACCCTAAGCCCTAAGCCCTAAACCCTAAACCCTAAACCCTAAACGACCCGAAACCCTACACCCTAAACCAGATAGCACACCTAAAGTGCGGCAATGCAGGCCTGGTGCCGAGCACCGTCACCTACAACTGCATGGCCGGCTGCTTCCTCCAGGCCAATCAACCAGAGCTGGCGATGGCGGCTCGGATTGTGGACATTATATTTATGATTATGATTATGATTATGATTATGATTAAGATTATGATGATGATTATGATTCTTACTAGTATTAGTATTCAGATGGTTATTGCTTTTGATGTATATCTAAAACTGCGTTGGAATTGAGAGGTGCGCCGTGTCACGGGGAAGTTCTCAAGACCTCGTCCAGACTGCATCGAAAAGTAGTGTGCCCCGGTGTACCATTCGGTGGCATTGAGGACTGGATGTTCAGGATCATCAAGGATGGCCTGGAGCCCGACGCTGCAACTGGACCGCAACACACAAGAGCATGCACTGGTGCAGCTGTGCAACCTCATCGCCATTGCGTTGCCAGTGCGTTGCCATTTGCGTTGCCACTGCGTTGCAATTGCGTGGCCATTGAGTGAACTCTGAGCGGCCACTGCGTTGCCGCTGCGCGACCACTGCGTGGCCACTGCCTTGCCCTGCGTTGCCATTGCATTGACATTGCATTGCTGCATCAGCAGGTGACCTACGCGCTGTTGACTGGTCAGAATGCTGAGAAGCTGCTGGAGGGCTTCGGAAAGCCAGTGCCTCACACCATATACGCAGTAGCGTGTAGAACCAACGCCGAGCTTTGCAGGCAACCTGGTCGGACGCTGTCGAACTTCATGGAGGCTACGGACTTTGCTCGCTGTCTGGTGGCGTTGCATGCCCAGGGCATGCCAGGATAGACATGAAGAGCTGTTGTACCTCTGATGAGTTGAATATGAGAGAATTCCCCTGTGCGGCCAAACCCTATCTGGACGCAGGCACGTTGTTACTTGCTTACGGCCGGCGATGTGTTCACGTTCTTGCAGGCGCCTGTGCCGATTACAGACGTATGCTGCCGATAGTTTCACTGCTGTCAACTTGGGATTGCGTCTCCCTGGTACCTCCCTGGTCTTCTAGCTTCCAGGTTTATGCGTTTTTAGCAACTTGTCGTGTGCAACTTGTGTGTTCCGCTGTCGTGGACCAATGGAGTAGTTCCGGTGCTTTTGTTGTGGGCAGTTCCTGGTCGCAGCCTTGTCTGCGTACCCAAGCTTCAGCTTCACTTCATGCTTTGGTGTGAGCAACAGTGTCTCTAGCCCTAAACCTTAAACCCTAAACCCTAAACCCAAACATAATATGAACTTGAACCCTAAAGCCACCTCGGAACCCGAGTGCCGCCACAAGGTTTCCAAGGCTCTCAGGCTTTCCAAGGCATCCAAAACACAACTCATAGGGGTCCACACAGGCCACACAAGGGATCCACAAGGAGTGCATAGGAGGTAGGGCACATAGGAGTTCCATAGAGGGCTCATAGCTCATCATCGGGGAAACTCTGACAGGTTCTTCCGAGTGGTTCACGGGAGTGTCCATAGGCAGTCCATATAGGGAGTCAGGCAATATTGAAGTCTGAATTTCCTCGCTGCATGTTGGGTGCTTGCTAGTTGAAACTGAGCTGCACAGGTTGGCAAAGTGGTGGGGGGGGGGGGGGGTTGTTTTCTTTGTTCATATACCGTGCGCTGGCTTTCTCAGGCGTACTTGAACTTGATGGAGCACTTCAAGACAACACCTCCTGAACATGCCATGGCCTTACCATGCCTTACCGGCATGTTCTGAAGAGGCTTCGGTTTACGCCGCGCGGACCCAGGTTCTGTAGAGGCTGTCAAATCAAGGTGCCCTCAGCTGGATGAGACCATCGGCACGGATAATCCAAGGGTTAGGTCTTGCGAGTGGAAACAGCGGGCACGTTTGGGGCTTTCGGGCTTGGGTGTAAGTTCAGGGTTTAGCTGAAAGATGTCTCTCGGGTGGCTAGGGCTTCAAGGTGAGGCCCTGCAGGACCATGAAACAAAATGGGATGTGATCTGCGACGCCTCCACTACCCTGTAGCTTAGGGTACAAGAAAGCCAACATGCCGACAATTGTAAGTCAACTTCAAATGTCCATGGTTTATGTAAGGCGGGGAAAGCCGGAAGCTGCATATTGAAACTGCCAAGAGAGCATCTTTGGTCGATGCCAGCGATACCGGTTCCATGAAGATGAGGAGAGGTTTATGGTTGGTTTATGGTTTAGGATCATGCTTGGAGGTTCATGGTACTGTATCAACCAGTTGTAACCGTACTTATAGCCCACTTATAGGCCCTTAAGACCTCCAAGCACCAGTTGCATACCACGCATGAGTTTGTGGTTTCTCTGTTCGACAGCGCAGACGGGCACAGCCTTGCCACAAGAGAGTCCCCTCCCAGCCCCTAGCTTTTCGAAATCTCCCCCCCAAGAAGGAAGGAACGCCCCCCCACCATGTGCTGAATGGAGAGCCAAGGTCATGAACGACATTGCGGGGTATGTGATGCTCAAGCAAGCAAGCATGCTGCAGGAACACGCCAAGGCCCTTGGCATTGTCACTGCATGAGAAAGATGTGGCATGAGCTCTGTTTATTATTATTACTATTATGATTATTATTATTACTATTATGATTACTATAATTATTATGATTACTACTATATTCATTATTATTCATTATTATTTTGCAATTATTATTAGTATTATTATTGTCATCGTTTTATACGTGAAGAGGCCAAGGCTTATCCATCTCCGGTCATCAAAGTGGAGGAGAAGCCCGGCACTCTCGGCATGACCATTGCCGGTGAGATGTCGATCATCTTCAGCCTGCCCTTTGGCCCTGGATTTCGTCCCCCCAAAATTGGGGAGGGGGGGGGGTGGTTCCGAAATTGGGGGGGGGGGGTACCTTAGGGTTCAGGGTTTGGGGTTTAGGGTTTAGGGTTTAGGGGTTCTGATGAACAGGGAATCCTACAATTTGTGGGGTCCAAGTTCGGGCTCCCTTGTGTTCGTAAACCCCCCCCCCCCACATTCTGAAAGCAGAAGATTGTGTCCTTCATGGCACTGAGGTAAGAAGCGTTGCTGGCAACATCCTCCAACATTCTGACATTTCCACGGCGGGTCTTTGACGGATCAGCGCAGGGTCAGGATGAATCAACAGCCGGAGACTTGTGAGCCATGTTTCACACCTTTCCCCCCTTCCAGTTCGCACGGCCCAAGTGTGTTCTGGTCAGTTCTATCTTCAGTTTTCATTTTTAAGGCCGCCATTGCCGACTGTCAGCTGCGCCTGCTCGCCCGTTTTTTGAACATGCCTCAAGGTACGCTCCCCTGTAGTTCCTTAAAGGATCTCTAGAAGATCTTTACGGATGAGAAGATGTCCTCAAGGTAGGTTCCCATTTAGTTCCTTAAAGGACCTCTAGAACAACTTTTCAGATGAGAAGATGTCGCAAGGCTCGCGGTGTGCGTCAGCTGCCAGTGCAAGGCGCTGACAGATTCCAACTTCCATCTGCCAGTCCTGCTCAGACGTCTGACGGATGTCGGCCGAACTGGCTCTCTTAGCAGCGATATTTGAATTTCAAGGGAATGGCGCCGAAGCAGTGGAACCTTATTATGCGACACTGCTCTCTTCGGCGGGCCGTTCGGAGAGATGAGAGAGGATTTCGCACAGAGGCCAGGCAATCCGACCCTTCCTGGCCTTGTGTCCCGTGAGTCTGCCAATCCGAGATTAGAGGAAGCTGAGCAAACCTCGTCAACCTTACAGTTGAGCTGCTGAACCATAATTCGATTCCAGCAAAGCATGCGCACATTGCAGCCCGCAGCTCATGAGCCCCTGGCCCCCGATTATGCCAGAGATATGTTCTGAGCCCTTAAGTGTACCAGTGGCGCCAGGAGATTGTGAGCACTGGAGCGAGACGCGTGCAGAAGGGACATTTGTCGGTAGCATTTGGGAAACTACTGAAGGAGCCATACCAGCAGCTCATGTCCCAGCACGTGCGCCTCGCCCGAAATCCGCTGCATGTGGCTGATGGCATGCTCTGTTTGTTCTCTTGACGAGAGATGAGACATCTTTATCACTGGCGCAAAACCGGGCCTTGCAAGCAGAACCCTGAATAGAGCCCCCTAAACCCTCTCAACGAAAGAATCGCCTTTTGCAAGAACGGCTCCCAAAAACGAGAAAAAGGGAAAACAGAAGCATCAGACACGAAACAACACACAAAACGACCCCGAGACATAAGAATCGTAAACAACGTGCAGAATGATCTGTTGGACTGTCATAGGCCCGTGATGCCTTTGTGGCCAGGACGACCCCTCGAGTTTTCACTTGAGCCCCGAGTTGTCCATCTTCCCTCAGTTCATGCCAGGGGCTCGGCTTGCGTGGAACAAGAATCGCTGCTTCCATGAATCCTGTGTCGGTTCTCCAGTGCCATTCGCGTTTTTTGCGCTTTCTTGCTCTTCGCTTGCTTTGTGGTTCTTGTGGGTCCATCGAAGTTATTTCTTCCTGGCCTGCTCGCCTAGGTACCACTTGCGGCGGAGCAACTTCCTGCAAACGTTCAATGCCAGCCCGGACGAGACAGCCTATTATCGAATGCCCTTGTCTCAAACATCTCAGAATCCCTAAGCCCTGAGCCCGAAGCCCTAAGCCCGAAACCCTAAAGAGAGAGTACCTTGCAAGGCTGATCCTGCGGGAGAACACCATGAACTCCCTTGTCATGATCCAGCCCGCTTTGCTGTGCTCACCTCGTTTTTTTTTTTTTTTTTTTTTTTTTTTTTTTTTTTTTTTTTTTTTTTTTTTTTTTTTTTTTTTTTTTTTTTTTTTTTTTTTTTTTTGGTTTTTGTGAGGGGGAATACACTCCTGGACTCCATAGTTTAGGGTTTTAGGGTTTTAGGGTTTTAGGGTTTTAGGGTTTTAGGGTTTTAGGGTTTTAGGGTCTTAGGGTCTTAGGGTCTTAGGGTCTTAGGGTCTTAGGGTTCAGGGTTCAGGGCATCTTGGAGCCCTTGCGCCTGAGGCAGTACTCCTTTGACGAGGGCCCGCCTCAACCTGTGCTGCTGGATGCGACTTCCCTCAAGTCGGGGGCCCTTTGCAAAGGGGGGGGGGGGGGCGGTTGCTGGCAACTGAGGAGTAACCAGTTGTTTAGGGTTTAGGGTTTAGGGTTTAGGGTTTAGGGTTTAGGGATCATGGGCCACAACGTAAACAATGCAGAGCATCTTCCCCCACCCCCCCCACCCGCCCACGATTCTGTGCAACTGGAGGTTGATGAGAATCTGCCTGCAGCGACATTCGGCTCAGAGAGGGGTATGAGGGTACGGTTTTATGGGTGTTGGGGGGGGGGGGGGGGAGTGGTCCCTAAACCCTATATGATCCCAAATCCCTAAACCCCCCAGCCCTACTTGGGATATTCGTGGTCTAAGGGGCCCAAGCCATGGTGCATTCGCGTGGGCGACTCGCCGGCGCGCTGGTTCTGTTGCTGGCGAGCCAGGTGCCAGAAGGGGGGGCTTAGGGTTTGAAACGTTTTGGGGCTTGTGGGGTTTGATGTTTTTGGTTCTTAGGAAGGCCCTTTCTGGGTACCCTAAATAAGAGGGGCCGCCTTATAAGAAGGGTCCCCAAAAGGACCATATCTTCGAGAAGTGACCATGTAGCTGTACTTCTTTAGCCGGGCATGCCAATCAAGAATTTTACCAAGTGCATCTCATCAGCTTCTTGTCTCTCCCCCAGCTTGGCACCCCAGAAAGGTTCTGGAATTGTTTAGAAAGTTAAAAAAGCACGGTCGAACACACCCGGAAGGTAACTGCATATTTTAAACTTCTCATTCCCCAAGCGCCATGCGAAGAACCTAGCCACACCATCCCGTGCCAGTGCGGGAGGTCTGCGCCCTCAACCCTAAAGCCTTTAACCCCCTTCCCCCCAAAACTCTAAAACCTTAAACCGCTAAAACCCCCCCCCCCCCCCCCACCATCATCTTTGAGAAATGACCACATCCTGAAAAGAGGCTGTCCATTGGTTGTCGTCTCCGTCGTTTACGTTGCCCACGTTTCGCTCCGGCTGGGCAAGAAGGCCATTTGCGGTGCTTGTGGACGGCCGCCAACAAAAACACATGGCCTTCTCGGGGTACTTTTAACACATTCTCAGGGTTTCAATCTTGGGTTTAGGGTCGTATTTCAGTCGATGGGGTCGCGCTTCGGGTCACCGATATGAGCTCAATGACATGTTAAATCCACCGCCATGCGGTTACTCGTAGCTAGTTGGGACGAACAAGAGGTTGAAGACGTTCAAACATGTGCCACCCCCCCTCCCCTCCAGTCGGGTCTTGCGATCTCGCGTCCCTTACGGCCCCGACTCACAATCTGAGTCCGAGGGCTGCAGGTCATGCCTTATGGTCCATCATCGGCAAGTTGTCACAGGTTCTCCTGGGATACACATTGGGGGCAGGAAGCACACAATTGAACACCCCCAGTCCTCCAGCACTACAAGTTCTTCTTGTACACAATTCATGCCGGGAGTATGTTGTAACAGTGGGCAAATGCTAATGCTAGGTCGTATATTGTAACAGGGGGGGTTTCAAGCCGTAGATCAACTTGGCGCAGGTCCACTGGCCGGTCCTCCTGCAAGGCGGTTCCCGACTACAGCAGCATGAACGTCAAAGAGCTGAAGGCGCCCCGGCTGGTGGAACAGGGGGGGGGGGCAGGGGGGGGAAGGGGGGGGGAAGAGGGGGGAAGAGGGGGGAAGGGGGGGAAGGGGGGGGCCCCCTGAAGCCTAAACGCTAAGCAAGGGGGGTTTTCCGAAATTCGGGGTACATTGTTGGAGTCCCTACTATACGGGCATCCTACGACTTGAGGATCTATATGCGCCCGCGTTGCGCGTAATCGCCCCCCCCCCCCCCCCCCCCATGGTATCCCCCCGCCCACGGCAACCCCCCCCAACCCCTGTCTGTTAAACACCACGGACCACAGGGGAGGACAGAGAAACCTCAGTCTAAACCCCACACCCTGAACCCTAAGCCCTAAAACCTAAACCCACCAAATGAACGACAGGAGGGAGAAGGGTAAACCCGAAACCTTAGCCGCTTTAACCCTGAACCCTGAAGCGTAAACTCAGCACGAACCACAGGGGGGAGAGGGGAAACCGTAAACCTACCATTACCCCAAACCTTGAACCCTGATTAAACTCTAAACCCACAATGAACCAATGGACCAGAGTGAAAACCCTGAACTCTACAGCCTAACCCTAAACCCCTAAACCACAAACCCATGAACCACGGACCATGAACCACAGGGGGGGGGGGAGGGGACCCCAAAACCCACCATGAACCACAGGGGGGGGGGGGGGGATACCATGGGGGGGGGAGGGGGGGGGGTGCGCCCATGCTGGCGCATATATTGGGGATGGGGTCCCCTACTTTCGGAAAGCCTAAGCATACTAGGCTTCAGACAAGTGAGCCATGTGCCAGGCAAGGCTCCGGGAGCTGGGCCTGAAGCTGGATGGCCGAAAGGCCCTGCGCGTGCTCCTTTTTTTACTCATTTTTTCAGACCCTACAGAGCTATAGACTGTTACAGATACATATAGCCAGAGAGATGAACATGAACATAGGTATGAATATAAAGCAAGAAGATGTCCTCCCCATGTTGGGTAGTTGAGTGCGGTGTAACATGAGATGATCGGCCAAGCCTGAAGCGCCTCCGGGCTTGCGGGGGGGGGGGGGGGGGGGGTGGGCAAGGCCGTTCTGATAGAGCGCCTACAAGCGCACGATGCAGATGCTGCTGCTTGGTTGAAAGAAGCGGTGGTTAGGGTTTAGGGTTTAGGGTTTAGGGTTTAGGGTTTGGGGTTTAGGGTTTAGGGTTTAGGGTTTAGGGTTTAGGGCCTAGGGTGATGAAGTCGGCAAGCACGTTCAGAACAGGATGAAGCAGATGAAGAAGAAGACAGCTCCTCGCGACTCGGAGTCTTCAGGGTAGCCCATGCAGGGTGAAGAGGTTTCGGGGGGGCATGTTGGAGGGCATGCACAGAAAAGGCTGGTTCTTAGTAGGGAATGAGGGAAAGGATTATATAGGGCCCTCATTCCCTTATTCCCTACGAAGAACCAGGGGAAAGCCATGTCTCGCATTTGGGCATTCGACGCAAGGTCTCCGTACTTGAACGATCAGGGCCTGCTTCCGGACGGCACGTACATGTGCCTGGATGGGAAAGCTCGGACTGGAGACTGGGAGAAAGCGAAGAGGCTTTTGAGATTTTGTGCGCCTTCGGAAAGTCGTGTGCGCGAGTCTCCTGTACCTACACGTTCTCAAGCAGAATCTGAGTGTGTCAGGGAAAACCCCGACGACCTCAACTGGCTCACCGAGTGGGTGGTCGCAGCCCGCACGGGTCAGTTGGAAAAGACGTCCAAGGGAAAGTGAAAGAAAGTGAAAGGAGATGGAAAGAAGTGGAAGAAGAGAAGAGAAGTGAAGCGCAAGACTCGGGTGGCTTGGCAGAGTCTGGCGGGCAAGAAGCACCTTTTGTGCTTGGTCTGTGCTTGGTCTGTGCTTGGGCTGTGCTTGGTCTGTGCTGCGCTTGATGGTGAGCCGGTGACGCCCTAAGGCCAATGTTGCCCAGTCCGGCCGGGACCTTCAGGTTCGCAGCAAAACTCAGGTCCATCTTCAGCTAGCAGCTAGGTGTGCCGTATGTGCCGTGATGCCACGCCTCCCGCGGTATGTGGCTTTGGCAGAGTCGCCGACCGAGAAAGGTGAGCCGCAAAGACCTTTACAACTCCAAGCATAGCTCACCCGGAAAGCTTTGCGGAACGACCGTTGGCGGAAGGAGGCTGAAGAAAAAGGGGAGCTCGCTGTCACCTGCGGTCCCATCCTGCAATTTCTGAGCCTTCTTGGCAGGCGCCTGTGTGTAGATTCCTCCAAGGGTTTAGGGTTTAGGGCTTAAGGGGTTTAGGGTTTTAGGGTTTTGGGTTTCGGGTTTAGGGTTTAGGGTTCTGCATTTCTATAAGCCTGGTGTTGCCAAGGCCCAACGTGATCCTGTTGCTGGATGCCTTCTTCCACGTCGTGATTTGGCGAGGCTTCTCCAATCCGTTCTGTTGCAGACGCTTTAAAACAACTCCCTGAAGGTTGGCGACACCCGAAGCCCTAGTTCAGCAGCGCATCTCAATCTTAATCTAAATCGGTTCTACTCGAGCAGAACAGCCGCGGATTTTTTCGGAGAACCAAAAGTGGGCTGCTTCAACAATGCAGCACCATTCTTTGACTGGAGTTGCAAGCATTCTGGCAGAGGTGAGATGATCCAAGCCTGGTATGATGCAGGATACCAGGCGGGTCTTTGAGATGTCGAGAGAGAGAGAGGGGGTAGAGAGAACGAGAGGGGGGCGGAGGGGCTTTCGGGTGAGGCGTTAAGGGGCAAGGTGGCGTGGTTGAGGTGAGGTTGACTTTGGAAGTTGACGAAAGGGCAAAAGAGAAAGAAACAAGAGCAAGAAGAGGAGGAAGAGAAGGAAGAGAGCACACAGCGCGCCTGAGCTTTGCAGGAGAAGGAGGAGTATGCAAATTTCAAGGCACTGGCCCGGGTGCTGGCTTACCTGTTGCTTGAGAGAGGCAAACGCCTTGGTTTGCACAGGCATTGCTGACAGCGCCCGCAGAAGATGCCAAACACATCCTTGCGGATCGCTTCCCTGCCCATGGCTTACGATGCTTCTTCCGGTCTCAAGTGGCCTGAAGGATTATGTGCCAGAGTCTGCGAGAAACCGTATCGCGTCGTTGTCTTTTTAAGCCGTCGGGTTGTCTTGAAGATGATGTTACTGCAGGTGCCAAAGTTCATTCAGACCAACGCGGGTGGATCCCAAGCGCGGTTCCTTACTTCCAAGGCCACCAAGGGGGGGTTAGGGCCTCCATATGAGCCGGTTCTCGAACGTATGGTCCTCTTTCTGGGTGCCCTAAATACACGGGCCGCATGATAACACGGACCTGGCAGGGGACCCACTTCAGACCCCAAACCCGACATCCCAAATCTTTGCACAGGTAAATCCTTCTCAGACGCACAACTCTGGACCGGGTTGGGGCGGTGGGTCCGACTCCTCTGTCGGGACCCGAGCCAACACCTTGGGTGGTTAGGGTTTCCAAGGTTTCCTACACGTGGGGGGCTGTTCCAATGTGTTAGAGTAGGGTCCCCTTGAAGGAACCCCAAAAAAGGCTCCAGTTAGAAGAATTCTCTGACAAGCTGAGCTTGGTGGAGCGGTTGACCATGCTTCAGGGTTTTTTCTAGCATCTATCCCAGGTGGTCATCACGGACGACGTGTCCTTGAAGGTTTTCATGGAGCATCTGATCAGGCCCATGACATTGCAGCGTGGAGTTGTCGGTGCGTGCAGCAGCCGTAGACTGGCGCCAGACTCGATGTGCAGATCCGATAAACCTGATCTGCAGGCTGGCCGTCCAATCCTGAGCTGCGACTTTTCGCTTCGGCATTGTGACAGCCTTGGCTGAAGTGAACAGGGAGCTATTTGCAGAGCTCTGTCTGTCTCATCGATGTCTTTGATACCCGACCTCACAGCTTCACTACTCAGACAACTTGTCCTCCAATCGTAGAGCCGCCGATATGCTATGGGGTGCACAGCCCCACAAAGTGCAGTGTAGCAGATCAGACTTACCAGTGGCCTTGCGCGCTCTCTGCAAAGACTGCGCGGCCCAAAAAAGCGCGTCCCGCTGCAGCGCATCATGGGGGCCGATTTCGTTTGGGGTCTTTTTGAGCACTTGGTAAGCTTATGGAGACCACGACAGCGCCCAGAATTTGATCGACCCCCCCCCCCCCCACCCATGTGTATTTCGCCGGTATGAGTCCCTTAAGGCCCTAAGCCACGAACCTCCCAGTCCACAAACCAGCTTCCCTAAACCTTAAATCCTAAATCCTAAACCCTAAGCCCTAAACCCTAAACCCTAAACCCTTTTTCGAGTTGACTTTGCGAACGCCTCAAGGAGCCTCGTGTGCCGAACGGTCGGGTCTCAAAAAACTTGGAGATGCCTCGGCATGATGTTGGCTCTGCTTAAGAGTCCTCCTAAGCGGCAGCTTAGGGTTCAGGGTCTGGGGTTAGGGTTTTAGGGTTCAAGGTTTAGGGTTTTTCGGTTTAAGTTTCGGGTTTAGGGTTCCCTTAGCCTCATCCTTGGAGGGAAGGAAGACGTCAAGTGCTGAAAGAGAGCCCCCTAAACCCTAAACCCTAAACCCTAAACCCTAAACCCTAAACCCTAAACCCTAAACCCTAAACCCTAAACCCTAAACCCTAAACCCTAAACCCTAAACCCTAAACCCTAAACCCTAAACCCTAAACCCTAAACCCAAAACCCTAAACCATAACCCTAAACCCTAAACCCTAAACCCTAAACCCTAAACCCTAAACCCCTAAAACCTAAACCCTAAACCCTAAACCCTAAAACCCTAAACCCTAAACCCTAAACCCTAAACCCTAAACCCTGAACCCTGAACCCTGAACCCTGAACCCTGAACCCTGAACCTGAACCCTGAACCTGAAACCCTGAACCCTGAACCCTGAACCCTGAACCCTGAACCCTGAACCCTGAACCCTGACCCTGAACCCTGAACCCTGAACCTGAACCCGAACCCTGAACCCTGAACCCTAACCCTACACCCTAAACCCCTAAACCCCAAACCCTAAACCCTAAACCCTAAACCCTAAACCCTTGCTAGACTTGGCTGCATACGGGAGAGGAGGAAGAGGAAGAGGACGAGGAGGAAGAGGAGGAGGAGGAAGAGGAGGAGGAGGAGGAGGAGGAGGAGGAGGAGGAGGAGGAGGTAAAGGGATGTTTTCTGGTTCGGTCACCCATCGGGTCGTGGTTTTTGCGCACCTTGGGTCCTGAAATATCCCTGTACTTGGGGTTTAGGTTGTAGGGTTTAGGGTTGAGGGTTTAGGGTTTAGGGCTTTGTTGGATTTCACACAGCATTCCCAGATTTGCGGAGACTTTGGTTGACTCATACGAACGAAGCAAACCCTGAAAGGCTGTGAAATCACATAAAGGTGCCTTTGCCCTTGCGCCTGTCGTTCGTAAAGGTGCTACAGTATGGGTGTTGTTCCATGCTCGGGACCCCCGGTAGGCAACTTTTACGAACTCGAACAGGTGTTCTTATGAACATGGCACCCTTCCCCAAACAGAAACAAGAGAGCAGGGACCCGATGACCCCGCATGGGAAGCAGCATCCGACAGCCTCCCAGGATCGAAGTTACAGGGCTAGGGGTTCGGGTAGCTTTAGTTGCTCCTGCAAATTTCTCTTGGCGTTTATGCCACTCTGTGCATCGAGATATGATGTATATATATATATATATATTATGTATATTATGTATAATATACATACAGTAGAGTCATAGTCAGTATAGCACATGCCCATGAACACAGGTCAGTACACTGGTCCGTAGCTGACGCATTCGACGTCGTACTGCTTCGTCCTATGCTGCTTGAGCCCCTGGCACAGGCCCGGCAGGCCATGCGGATATCGCGCGACTGCCCACTTCCTCACGAGAAGCAGAAGTGGCGCAGACCGGCGCCATGTCTGACTGGACCTATGAGATGCTTCGATATGCTTTTAGCTGGAACGACGAGTCAAGCGAGAAGGCACTCAAGTATGTGGTTAACGGGCGAACTCCCTCTGAGACCATGTCGGAGTTTCAGCTCTTGGACATACTTCTGCTGACAATTCTGACCGAAAAGGACGAGGTGGAAAGAACCTCGGCGCTGGTTTTCTTGGAGGAGCATGGCAAGAGCCTGGTCTTCGATTATTCGCGGCTTCACAAGGTGTATTTTGTGCTTGAGAACATTCTGGGCTCGCCCGTTGATGGCCAGGGCATGACCTACTCCTTGAAGTCGCAAGTTCTGGTCACGTATACCGCACTTTTGATCCAATTCAACACATTTGAGACGGATGTTGCTCGTTTCGAAGGCTTCGTGGATCTGCTATATTCAATGGTGAAGCACACAAACAAGTCAGCTGACCGAATCCTTCGGGCCTACGCATGTGAGTGCTTGCACGAGCTCGAGAGCTGGCATCCGGGTCTGTTGTTCCCTCTGTTGGGAGAGGATTGGACCGTGCCGCCCATCTGGGCGGCTGGAATGACTGCTACAGTCCAGCAGGGCTCCTCTGTTGGACTGAATACACTGGGCAAGTTTGCCAATGATGAGCTACTACACATCCAGGAGAGCTATGCGCGACTTTTCTTCACCACAATCCAGCACTTTACCGAGCAATTGGTTCAGGAGGCCTTGAAGCATCAGCCAGAGGAAAGGCACGACCTCACCGAGCTTTCTATGACGCCGCTGACAACTCCGGCAGGCTCGCGACCTGGCACGCCGCCGTTGACTCCACGTGGCGCAGGCGCCTTGGAGCCCACGCTGGGAGGTGCGAGTGGTGCGGGCGCGGGTGGTGCGGGTGCTCAGCAAGCCGGCGAAGCAAAGGACTCCGTGTTCCGCTTCCACATCCCGAGGAACTGCCACGCGGGCCCGGAGTTCGCTTTTGATCTGGCAGCAGATCAAACTCCGCCCAGGCTGCCTCGGAAGCTGGTGCGGACGATGACGCGGAGCATCGGCTTGGTCTTGGAGGCGATGCCCACGTCCTCGTCATGGACTAAAATCTTCATTGCAGAGCGCCTGAGCCTCTTCGTCAAAGTCCTTGCGCTGCCGCAGCGCGTGGTGTTCCATCACTTCAGCCCATTGCTGCACGCGTCGCGGCCATCGCTGCTACATGCCTTCATGGTGGTGAATGCGCTGTTTGCCAAGGAGCTGGACAAGTCGGTGGCTGAGGCGGTGGTCCACCGACTCTTTGCTTTGGTACAGGATGCGGCTATGGAGTCCTGCTTTCGGCTCCTGTCGGTGAGTTGGCTCATCGCGCTCTCAAGTAGCAAGCTGTCCTTCAACCTTCTCTGGGCCCGCGTGCAAGAGCTCTGCCCGCGCTGGCACGCACGAACCTCAGAGTCCTAAACCTTAAACCTTAAACCCTGTAAGCCCTAAGCCCTAAGCCCTAAACCCTAAACCCTAAACCCAAAACCTATGGCAAGATGAGGATCCCTTGGAGCTCAAGGAGATGAAGCTGCAAGCTCGGCTCTTGGAGTGGTGGCAAGAAGACTCCGGGAGTGAAACTCGTGATGTGTAGTGGCATCTTCTAGTGGCCTTTGCCGAGGCGCTCTTGTACTGCTTCAAGATTTCTCAGACTCTACCCAGCAATCTCTTGGCCAGCAGCTTACCAGCTCTCTGTCAAGAGCTCGTAAGAGCTCAAGTTCATCGAAAGCGCGTCTCGCAACTTCAGTGCCGTCGTTTCTTCATGCCTCCGAGATTGTATTGGAGTCCCTCTCAGAGTTCAAGCACTGCCACCGGCCAGCTCTTAGCTCAGACTCTCACGGGCTCTCACGGGGTCACTTCCAGCGGCGCGGACACTGAGGTGGGTGCTCACGCGGTGGTTTTCCGCTTTCTGCTGCGGGTGCTGATTGAAACCTGGCTGGAGATAGTGCTAGCAAGCGCTTGCGACATGGCGTCCTTGAACTAAGCGTTTGCGAATCTCCCAGCCTTGCTTTTGATGTGGCACTTTAAGGACTTCGCACCTGAGATGGACAGGCTGGAGGCCGCATGCAGCACATGCGGGTGAGCCATGCCTTGTTGAATTCGCAGCACAGGTTCCTCAAGCATTGTGCGACATGCTGCTCCTGCCTCAGATCCCTTTCCGCGCCTGCGCCTTGCAGAACGTTGTAGAATTGGGACCCTGCCGGATGCGTTGTGAGGCGGTCGCACCTGCGCCTGCTTCCGTCGGTGCAGGGCTCAGCCTGAGATGTCTGAGATGAGGTTTTGGGCGCTTTGCTTTGCGGGAGGTCCTGGCGCTCAACCAGCGTGTCAACTCCAAGGCCTTCCTCCTTCCTGTAAGCGTATGGCCCTAAAGCCGTGCTAGATCCTTTGTCCCTGCAGGCTGTCCAGTACAAGCTGCTGCATTCGCTTGGCCAGTTCGTGTCGAGACTGGAGCCGCCGTCTAGGCCTGGCGCACCAATCCACCCCAAACCCTAAACCCCAACCCTAAACCCCAAATCCCTAAACCCTAAACCCTAAACCCTAAACCCCTCTCCTAGTGTCAAAAACCCTAAAACCCTGGGAGCCCAAGGGTGTTTGGGGGCTGACACGAGGTTTTGGCCTTCAGGGGGTGTCCTGGGGCATGTGGGCAGGATCCAAAGATACTTTGGCCTCCTGGTGATTCTCTCCGAGACGCCCTGGCTGGACCCGAGGCCGATCCTGATGTCACATGAGGTGGTTTAGAGGGTTTAGGGCTTCTTGTGGATTGCCCACAGCAGATAATGAGCACGATTACGCGGGAAGGATGAAAGCTTCGACCTAAGGGACGACATTGGATCCAACATGTCCATCCGAACGAAGTTGTACTACTAACTCTGTACAGGGAAAGTACAGAGAGGGGCTTCATGTGCGTGAGAATTCGGGTAGTGGGTCGAACTTTCGTCCTACCTGAGCGTTTGTTACGATTATCTGTTCGTATTGAATTCAAGATTATCAAGCATTATAGCGATTCCAATTCGTAGTCCTGAAAGTCATATTTTTCTTATCTTTTTGATTGTTGGCATTTTCCGAAGGTTGTTGGGCAGGTGGGGTGGGGTGGGGGGGGGGTGGGGTGGGGTAATTGCCGGCTTTTCTTGTTGACGTTTTCCGAAGATGCAGATTGGGACTCGACCGATGTCATGAACATCTATGAATACCCCAACAGTGAAGGTTAGATTGCCGTCCTGAAAGGGGCGCGCCCGTGCTACGATGATTGTTATGAGCATTATTATGATGAGTACTGGTTTCGCGTTGCTATAATTATTCATTCATTATTGTTGTCATTGTTTGATGATGATGGATGATGATGATGGTGATGCTGATGATGTGGCTGCTCTCAGTTTTTAGTGTGAGGGAATACGGTTAGTTTTAGTGTTCTGTCCATTTTGGTTGTTGTAGTGATGATGGCGACTGCTGTTACTGCAAGTTTCTGTTATTGCTGTTGCTGGTAACATTCTTGTGCAAGCTGCGAAACAATGTCAGGAGTGGCACACCACGGACAATCAAGACCCAACATGCAACAACAACGGCCACATTCACCCCACGAACCGTGCGGTTTTTGTTCCCTAGTCCGGTGTAAAAGAGGGAGAGCGAACGCCTGGTGGCAACTTCTTGGGTTTTGCATCACTTGTCCTCCAGTATCTTGTGCGAGCGAGAGCCACTCGTGTCCAGCTACGTCCTGACGGCCTTGCATCGATTGGTCTTCTGCCCATCATCCAGCCTTACATGGGAAGCTGGCATGCCTGGGGCTCAGAGCCGGACTCGTTACGGCTTTGCTTGCGGTGTTAAGACGTGAGGACATTTTTCAGAATGCTCCGCCCCTCCTCCGATCCCCGCCCCGCCCCCCCCAAATATCAGCAAACATGACAAAAGTTGTAACAACAAGCATAGCACATACGACACAAAACATAGTGACATAGAGCCACAAGTCATGACGCAACAAGCAGAAGTGTTGGCCCAACGCTCGCCGAGGCGGGTCCTGATCACTTGTCGCCGGATCATCCTCTCGCATCCTCAGGAGAGCCAAAAGATGCTTCCTAGTTCTCAGTAGGGAAGTCGGACCTTAGGGAGTTAGGGTCCCTCTAGCGTTCCGTAAAGGGTCTTACAGGGTAAAGCAGGTGCGCTGGATCCTCTACAACAATCGGAAGCCCCAACAAAACCCGTCGTGTAGCCAATAGTATCCAGGCGGTGATCTACCAGCCCATGCTCCGTCTCTTGCAGCACCTGGCAACCTATCAGTGCTGCCCTCGGGGGGTTCATCGCAGGAATGAACCATGCTCATGGCCATCGACAATGTATAGCCGTCATCGTAAAGAACATATCCAGGATAAAAAGCCCCCCCCCCCCTAATACGAATCATATCAATATTACTTGAGGAGCTTCTCGAACTTCCACTTCAACTTTAAGGTCTGACGTCGACCTGCGAGACCGGTCGCTGCTCTACCTGAGGCCCGAATGCCGAGTCAGGTGAGTTGCTCCTGCTATTGAGCATGTTCTCTGGTCTTCTTGTTATTGCCAGTACTGTTGCTACGATTGATACTTGTCATCTCTGTTATTATCAGGTCTCTCCTTGAAAGGTTGTTCGCCAAGGCGCTGCAAAGCGCCGGAAAGCTTTGCGGGCATTCGTGGAAACCTGCAAATGAGGGCTCAAGCAAGCCATTGCTCACGCAGTGCCGCAGCCTCGTCCTCGCCATGAAGCAGAAGGCACTGGACTGCAGGGACAGTGTGTGTGTGTGTGGTGCAGTTGTGACTTTGTTCTTTGTGCTGTGTTAGCTTGAGACAGGCGACCGTGACATGCTCCCGCCGTGCCGGGCTTAGAGTTGGTGACCACTAAGGGGCTTGCCTCTTTTTCTTGCCTACTGAGAAGCTGCTACTGTGTGGAGAGAGAAGATGTACGGCCTGTCAATCACCGAGGCAAGAACCGCAAGGCGCACTTCACGGCTCCCAGTCACATTCGCCGTGTGCTGATGAGCGCGTCGCTGCCTCATCTTTGTGCACAAGCCTCTTTTGCTGCTTCCTGCGAAGCACCGCGCGGCCGACCTAGCTAAGGCCCCTTAGCAAGGACCTGCGAACGAAATACAATGCCTGGCCCTTGGGTAGAACTCTAATTTCTCTTAGTCGTTTTGGGGCAGATCACATCCCAGTGCATCGGAGGTGCGTGCAGTACCCATCCGACGAGATGATGAGGTCAGGATCGTGCCGAAAGCTCAGCGTGTAAGAGATGCAGATCTGAAAAGCTGTCAAGAAAACAAACCCAAGGCGCGGCCACTACAACGATCGTGAAGGGAAGGTGACGCAGGTGTACCGGAAGAAGTTCCGTCCCAACCTCATCCTGGTGTTCCCCAAATTGAGTAGAACGCTTTCTCCCATGCAGTCTCTTTGCCAGCCATCCGATCAGGCATCCATGTGGAAAGGGTCACTCGCGACAAGGCTTCCATGCCCATTGTGAAACCCTAAACCCTAAACCTAAACCCTAAACCCTAAACCCTAAACCCTAAACCCTAAACCCTAAACCCTAAACCCTAAACCCTAAACCCTAAACCCTAAACCCTAAACCCTAAACCCGAAACCCCTCTGTAGGCCAACGGCCAGCCCGTGCCGATCCCGATCCATCCTTCCAAGGCACAGCCTCTGCCGGGGTTGCCTCTCTGTTCCTTTGCGTTCAGCCGGTGAACCATGGCGGCTGAAACCCTAAACCCTAAAGCCCTAAACCCCATAGAACCCTAAGCCACTATGTTTCAGCGTTGAAGGTTGAGATCACAAAGCTAAAGCTCGACAAAGACAGGAAGGCCTTGTTGGACAGGACACGCGGGCATACCCAGAACGAGTCTGTTCACTGCACAGGGTGGCTTTGTTCTGAGAAATGGCTCCGCGCTCTGTGGACAGGAAGAACCGTGCTGTAAAGAAGGGGAAGTACACTGAGAAGGACACTGCGTAAACGGTCGAGGCCTGCCCAGAGATGCCAGAAACCGAGTAGGGGACACATCCCGGTCGATCGATGTGTGATTTGGAGGTGCCTCTGCGAAGGGAGGATGGGGTTCACGTGAGCTCTGATTTGCCGAAGAAAAGCGTGCCCGGGGTTCCGTGCGGGGATGTTCGGCTTAAGCAAACGTCCCCCGAAAGGGCCGCTACTGTACTTCTTGAGCATCCTCCTGCGTGGGCAGTAGTTTTCTAGGTTGCGATCCTTTCTTGGCTGCCCTGAAATGTCCGTATCGCTACAGGAACCCCGAAAACGAGGGGATTCTGCGAGAGGGAGCGCCTAACACCCTGAACCGTGAACCCTAAACCCTAAATCCTAAACCCTAAACCTTAAACCCGGAACCCCAAACCCTATCATTAGCCCACACGAGATCTTGGACAAAACTGTCAGGTTGCTGTCGCATTCTGGACCGGCGGCCCTGGGCGCGCCCTAAGCTTGGTCACTGGTAGGGTTGAGGGATTTTAGGGTTTAGGGCTTGGGGTTTAGGGTAGGGTGTAGGGTTCAGAGAGTTTAGGGAGTTTGGGGAATGTAGGATTTTAGGGCTTAGGGAGTTTGTGTTTGGGGTCAGACCGAACAGCTGAGTCCATGATACGCTAGTGGTCAGTTTTTGGAGAGAGTGAAGACAAAGAGCCTCCATTTAACCACCCCCGGCTAGACAAGAACCCGAGTTTGGAGAGATCTCTTGTTCGTCTATGTCATGACCCACGTCTTAGCCGCACCAAGGCTCTTCAATCCGCATCCAGCGAACATGCAGAGAATGACACAGATGCGGCAGTCTCAGAGTGGGAGTTGCAACGCATGGAAGCTACCCCCGCCCGCAAGCCCTACATCCTGAGCCGGCAAATCTAAACCCTAACCCCCCCCCCCCCCCCTAGAAGCCCTCGCCAGGCTCTCACCCGTGCTTCCAAGAACGGTGCGTCTCATGAACGGCCCGGTCAGGCGCTCAGGTGAGCAATCTTTCGCCCGGGCTTGCGACATTTCGCGAGGGCTTTTTAGGGGGTTTACACACTTTAGTGGGGGTTTCGGGGGTTTAGGGGTTGAGGGGTTCAGGGTGGGCTTAGAGGGTTTAGGGAGTTTGAGGGGATTAGGGTTTAGGAAGTCGAATGGGGCTCATTTCCTGCGCAGCGCCCGGCCTACTTCTGCTTGAGCACGCGGCTGAGGTTCCTTTTCTTCGCTTCGTCAAGTCGCCAGACGAGCGGAGAAAGCAGCCGCCCTGGAGATCACACCCCTGCATTTTGCTAACACCCAAAACACCCAAGGACCCTAGGGAATTTTGGGGTTCTTTTGGGGGATACTTAGGGGCTACTTAGGTATTTTGAGGTCTACATAAGGGCTATATAGGGGAGTAAGATGAAGGGTCCATTCTAGGGGGTCCCTCCTTCTACCCCCTTAAAGACACATCCAAAAGCACCCCAAAAAGCACCCACGACGCCTCGGCAAAACCCAAAAGCAGGCTCGGGCTGCTCGACCGCCAGACTGCCGTCTTTGTGCTACCAGGAGTGGTGGGAGGCTGGGTTTCCAGGGTTTAGGGGGTTTAGGGGGTTTCGGGGGGTTTCGGGGGTTTTAGGGGGTTTTAGGGGGGTTTCAGGGGGTTTAGGGGGTTTAGGGGGTTTTGGGGGTTTAGGGGGTTTAGGGGGTTTAGGGCTTTTTGTGGGTGCAGGGAGGTTGGGGTTTGGTGATGAGGGTTCGTGCATAACGAGGCTTGTGCGAAGCCAAAGCGTAATCCGACACTGGAACCACTGTGACTTGTAACTCCGCGCCGTTGTTTCTAGAGGCCTTTCTCTGCAAGGTCTGGCGGCCTCTTTACTCATTGCCTAAAAAACCCCGAAAAATTAGCAAAAGTCTCCTTCTCAGGGCAATATCGAGATTTTCATTTATTTTAGTTTTTGGGGGTTCTCAAGCAAACAATTCCTTCTGGATTCTTCTGAGGTGGGCTTGCATCGTTGCATCTCACTCACCCGCGTGTCTAGGTGGCTTGCTGACGAGTCAGTGGGAGAAGAGGCCCCAGCTGTCATTGTGGTGCCCATTCAGCCCTAAACCCCTAAACCCCTAAACCCCTAAACCCCTAAACCCCTAAACCCCTAAACCCCTAAACCCCTAAACCCCTAAACCCCTAAACCCCTAAACCCCTAAACCCTAAACCCTAAACCCCTAACCTAACCCCTAAACCCCTAAACCCTAAACCCCTAAACCCCTAAACCCTAAACCCCTAAACCCCTAAACCCCTACCCCTAACCCTAAACCCCTAACCCCTAAACCCCCTAAACCCCTAAACCCTAAACCCCTACCCCTAAACCCCTAAACCCTAAACCCCTAAACCCCTAAACCCCTAAACCCCTAAACCCCTAAACCCCTAAACCCCTAAACCCCTAAACCCCTAAACCCCTAAACCGCTAAACCCCGAAACCCCGAAACCCCGAAACCCCGAAACCCCGAAACCTAAACCCCGAAACTCCCGAAACCCGAAGCTCTAAAACTCCCTGAAACCTCAACTCCCTAGTCTCCCTAAACTCCCTCAACCCTATCGTGAGATGGGGCGACCCTGGCCTGGACCACAAGTTCCCAGAAGACTGGCTCGAGGCAGGGATTTCACACAGCTTCAGTTGAACTCGGGGTCCCTTTTTTGGGTCCTTATCTTTAGGGCACTGCATAGGGGACCCCGAAAAGGGGGGCCCGAATTTTGAGAACTACCGCCGCATTCAGATTCTTAGCCGCAGTGTTCTGCGAGTTTGCCGAACGCGTGGCTGGCAGCGGGGTCGAGGCCGCATCAGGCCGGTGCTGCCTTCAATGCTGATGACGTTGTGGTCATCAACTCTGCTTACTTGGAGGTGCAGGGTGATTCGTAACCCATTATAAGTGTACCTTTTACCCACATGTGAGCCCCTTAAGTACCCGAATAGGATTAGAATTGGGTGATAAGTACAGTTCTCATTGGGTTTACGAAGTACCATGAACCTCCAAGTAGCTGTTCTGGTAGTCGTGTTGCGCTCGCACTGCTGCTGTGCAGATGAGCTGACGTGGCTCTTGAATGAGTACAAGAAGCACCTCCAGGCTCCGTGATGGGCGTGTACTTGTTTGCATCGACATATATATATATGTTACACATACAGATTACTAAGATTACACATATCATACATATTATACATGTTACACATATCATACATATTTTACAGATTATACATACTATACATATTGTACATATCATACATATGATATATATATATATATATATATATATATGACCGCTCCGGATTGAACTTCAATACTCCGGGATTCAAGATTCAAGATTCAAGGTTCCAGGGAAAAGTTTCCCCGGGATCTTGAATCCAGGGTCCCGAGTATTGAAGTTCAATACCCCGGATTGAACTTCAATACTTCGGGACCCTGGATTCAAGATCCCGGGGAAACTTTTCTCGGGAACCTTGAATCTTGAATCTTGAATCCCGGAGTATTGAAGTTCAATCCGGAGCATTGAACTTCAATACTCCTTGTCCCTCATCGTGCTTGACCATTGAGGCCTTGAAATTTACGTACACTATGCACTCTAGAAACGTCTCTAGAGGTGTAGTATAAACATACAGATAATCAACCAGATATAAATAAAGGAAGAAGGAAAATATAATCAACACGCTGGGGCAAAGAAAACAAATTACGAACGAAAAAAAGAAATACGCAGTGCCAGAAGCAGAAAAGGTGTGGATAACTGGGGGGGGGGTACCATTAGGCTACCCCCCCCCGGGTTATCCACGCTTTTTTGTGGTTTTCCACGCTTTTTGTGGTTGCGAGCCAATTAGATCGCTCACGGGCCGCGGTGACCCCTGAACTCCCCCCCCCCTCCTCCAATAGCCCAATCCCCCACATAACGTAAATGCATGCAATCCTTGAGATGTCGAGTCCTCTCCATCTGTCCAAACACTGGGCACAGCGACCTTCTCCCCTCCCCTCCCTTCCGCTCCGCTGCGCTCCCTGGTTCTTGCAAAGGCTTTTTTTCAGGGCTAAATCTCTAAACCCCTATCGGTTCAGGTTTAAGTCTTATAAAAAGAGAGGCACTGAAACCCTATAGGGTTTAGGGCTTCAAGCCGATAGGGTTTTTTAGGGTTAAACCTGAACCTGAACCTTTAGATCCATAGGGTTTCAAGGTTAAGCAATTACACCTAAACCCTTAACCTTTAATCCTATACGGTTAATAGGTTTGAAGATTTTAAGATCTAGGTATTTAAACCTAAGCCCATAGAGTTAAAACCTCAAGGGTTTACGGTTTAGGCATCTAAACCTGCACCCTTTAGGGTCAGAACCCTAAAAGCCTATAGGGCTCTACAAGGCTGAAAAGTTTTAACTGCATAGGCGCTGAAGGTATACGTGCCCAGACCTTAGGTTTTCAAACCTTTAAATCCCATAAAGTCTAAAGGTTAAGGGTTTTTCAAGGTATCTCTAAAGCCCTCACGGGGTTAGCCCGATAGGGTTTAAACCCTATAGGCCTATAGGGTTCAACAGTTTAGGGCTTTAGGTTTAGGCATTGCCTATAGGATTAGAGCCTGAAAAACCCTATCAGGCTTGAGGCTTAATTCCCTAAACCTAAAATCCCACATGGTTTTGCCTCTGTTTATAGGGCTTGGTGGAAATGCAAAGAATAAGCAGAATAAGTACCCACACCATGTATCGGGTTCAAAAGTTTAGGGGTCTTAAAGGTTTA